ATTTACAATGCTAGTGGGATAACCTAATTTGAGCATTATCATTATCAACATTGAGTTGAGCTTTCGAGTATCTTCTTTTGAAAAGCCAAGTTCTCGTCGGTGAAACTCCCGGGCAAAGCAGATCTCTCCATGAAGATTTCCCTGGTGCAAATACGCTCCGGTTCCGGCTTGTAACAAGCGAAATCGACCAAGTAAACTTTCCGGGACGGCTGGTGAAGTAAAGCGTGGCTAAGAAATTCAAAAGGCCTAACTAAACATAGGGTTACCGAGACCAGATTGAACTTGAGCTGGTCCCATAGTTGAACCAAATCCATGAACTGCGTCGAGAGATAAGCCGAAGCAATGCATAAGAGCGGCACCAGCATTAGATACATGGCGTTGAAGATTAAATAATGGTAGTCGAGCTTTACGTATTTTAATCTTACTGAAAGAAGAAAATTCGGGAGATTATTGTTTGATCTTCTTTCGTTTGATGAATCTGTAGTTTGAACATTAACTGGGTCGGGATTCATGCTTTTTCTACTCTCTTCTGCCATTTTTTTTTTGCTGTGAAACAAGTTTCGAGCAAAACCCAGATCGGAAAGTTGATCGGAATCGAGAAAAATGAAAACTTTGGTTCGGATTTTCCTAGGAAACGAAGGAAAGTGTGGGAAAAAAAGAGTTAAAAGGGGAGAATTTAAAGAGCTTGGGGGAGAGATGGAAGGATACAACTACCCCAACGAACTTTTAATTGTTAACACACACCTTGGCATTGAATTTGCTAACCGGGAAACTACACTTCGTTTTTTTAAGGGAATTAGAAAACCCCATTTTTGCACTTATATAATTAATTTTGGGTAAAGTATACTTGGTTGAACAACTTAACATATTAAAAAATAATTTATTTTAAATGATACGAGATAATTACAACGAATGATATTAATTCAAAATCTTTCTTAGTTATTGATAACATACATAATGTGAAATCTTTCTAACAAGATTAGGGGTTTGAATTCTAATATTGTGAATTGAGCAAACTGAGTTGAGAGGGTTGATCCGAAAATGTCTCTACAATACCCCGTTCTAATTAGTCAATCAATAAATTAAACATAAGTGATTATAAAAAAAATAATTTTAGTGGACAAAATTTTAAAATTATTTATTTTAGTTCAAGCTTAAAATTTTAGTGATTATTTATGTACTATGTATAAATTGTGGATTAATTATTTTTAATAACGTTGATTAAATTTTTGTACTTTAATTTTGGTCAATTCTAACTAAATTACCAGAGACTTGAAATGATCAAATTAAAGAATATAAATTAAATCTACTATGTAATAAACAATGGTAAATAGAAATTTCTCAAATTTCTATTAATTATTGTATATAAAGTTAAACAATTGGATAATTTGTGTGTCATCATTTAATTGGTTAAATAAAATTAATTAAAATTTTTATTTAATTATTAGTGTTAAAATTAAAAAATATTAAAAAATAATACACCATGCCACGTCAACATCACTATTAAATTTAAAAAGATTATTATTTTTAATTTAATCATTTAATCTTGACAATGCTCATATTTTGATTACTCCACAGCTAAATTATAAATTGTATAATGACACAATAATTTACACTAAAACGATATCGTTTTGAATTTCTGAAAGTTATCTCCAACGATACGTGAGTCCCAAAATTTTTCATTAAACTAATTTCATCCTCCTTTTTAATTAGAATACACTCCAAATTCTATTAATCTAGCGTTTATCGCTTTGATTTCTTATTCTCTAATTCCCGTTGTCCATCGTTGAATGGAGAGCGAACAGAGATATGTTATTTCCATCTTCAAAAAGAGTAGCCCCACTGTTAAAATCAATAAATTAAATATAAGTGATTATAAAAAGAATAATTTTAGTGAACAAAATTTTAAAATTAATTATTTTAGTTCAAATTTAAAAAATTAGTGATTATTTATGTACTATGTATAAGTTGTAGATTGAATTTCTTTTAATAGAATGGATTAAATTTTTGTACTTTAATTTTGGTCAATTCTAGATCTTTTATATATATTTAATTTCAATCTTAATTCTAACTAAATTAACATAGACTTGAAAGGATCAAATTAAAGAATATAAATTAAATCTACTATGTAATATACAACGATTCATAAAAAAGTATCAAATTTCTATTAATCATTATATAAAAAGTTAAAAAAATAGACAACTTGTGTGTCATCATTCTATTGATTAAATGAAATTGATTAAAAAATATTATTTAACTGTTGACGTGAAAATTTTAAAAAAAAAAATATTAAAAAATAACATGTCATGCCACGTCAATATCACCGTTATGCTTTTAACGACGGATACCAAATTAAAACTTAAAATAAACGTTAGGTATGATTTAAAAAAAATTGATACAAAAAACATAACAAAAGTGATAGTCTAAGTATTAGACTTATAGTTTACACAATTTTTTTATTTCATTCATTTTCAAGTTACCAAAATTGTTATTGACATGGCATCATTTTATTTTTTAAATATTGTGTACTCAAATAATTATACTTATCAAATATGTGAATAAATTAATATATTTATTTTTAAAATACATATAACTAAATTAAAATCAATTTCTTTTCATACAATTGAATCAAGATAAAAAATTTATATATCTAATTACACTAAATCAAAATTTATATATCATATCAACAACCAATTGGTCTAGTGGATGAGACACTAGACTCTTTAATCAATATCAAAGATTCGAATCATGATAATTGTGAATGAAACAAACTGGATTGGGAGAGTTGCCCTTATAAGAGATTCTGTAAAACCCAAACTCGATTAGTCAATCAATAGATTAGATACTAGTAATTAATTCAAAAATATAAATAATACTATCTCAAAATTTTCTAGAAAATACAGTTAGGATTTTAATTTGAAAGTTGAAACCTCATTATAGATATTAAAATCAAATAGAGATAGTAATCTATATGCTAAGTTAGAGTGACACTCTATATTATATACATTTAAATATGTCATGCCACATTAAATTGAAACCAAATTAAAGAAGGTGAACTCATTACATGTCACTCTATTATTAATAAATTTATAAATGAGTTATTATATTTTAATAACTTACAATCGAGCCATTCAATTAATCGGTTATAATTAACTAAAACGGCATAATACAGGGGTGTTTATGGAATTTGAATCATTTTTAATCGTTGAAAATTGAAATTACGTATCAACTTGGAGGCTTTGTTGAAAATTCAAAACATAATTATTCTATCCTACTCATAATCGCCTATCTATAAACTAGAATCTTTTAATAATTATTCTATCCCCCCCAACCCAAACAAAATTTCATGAAAAATAAAATAATAAAATTTTCATTTTAATATTCTATTTATATATTAAGAATAATATTGTCATGTGACCTATTTAAAATTTATAGTTTTATATTTTAGGATATAAGATTTAGAGTTTAAATATTAAGGTTTAAGATCATTTAAATATGTCAAATGAAACTTAAATAAACATATTTGTGAAGTATTAATTTTTCACTGCTAATTCATAAAATGATAACCCTATATCTATGGACGAATACCCAGAGATACATAGTTAGGAAGCTATATTAAAAATTTAAGGGTGTAAAAATATAAAATTCTAAAAGGATAAAATTAAAAGTATTAATAAAATATATAAACTATATGAGAATTTAAAATTCTTATAAAATATTTCGTATCTCAATACTCCTTTAATCCATCTTTAGGGGCGGAACACAAGATGAATTAGAGGGCGCCATGACTCCCAAATTTAAAAAATTCTAATTTTGATCCTTTAATTTTTTAAAAATTCAATTTGCCCATTCAAAATTTTTAGAAATTCAAATTAAATTTAATTTTTTTAATGATCTAATTGAACCCCTTCCATAATTTTTGAAAATTCTCATTAAGTCTCTTAAAATTTCAAAAATTGTAGTCAAACCCTAATTTTTTTGGAAAAAAAATATAAACTAAACCTTTCAAAATTTTTAAAAATCTTAATTTAAACCTCTAATATTTTTTAAAATTTTAAGTTGACCCCTCAAATTCTATCACCAAATTTCGTCACTGTCACCAAGTTTCGTCACTGTCCATCCTACCTATATCTATTTACTTTTTTAAAAACCCGTTTAATTTTTTTAAAAATTTAAAATTGTCATAATTTTGAATCACACCAACAGAATAAAGATAATGATATTTTTATAGTAGGTGTTGGGGGTAAAGGTGGCGTGGGGGGCTAAAGATTTTTGGGTCACTGAAATTGAGGAAGAAATGGTTTGCAATAAATAACCCTAAACACGAAATCAACTAATGGTAAACCTTGGTGGCATTGCCATGCACTTTTCTTGTTTGGGGTTAATAGGTTGCCCTATAGGAATCATGCAAGCAATCTGGCCTCATTTTGACGTGACAGTGACAGATCTGGACTCAGGATGATGAAATGATATAAAATTTAAGATCAAATGACCATCATTTATTATGATCGACGGTGACATTCGATTACAGTATATTTTTATTTTATAATTTTAATTATTTTATATTAAATAATGAAAAATATCACATCATATAAAAATAATAATAAAAAAAATTAGAGTGATCAAAACATGAATAATTCTAAAGTTAAGTGATTAATATAGAAAAATTGAAAGTACAGTGAGAATAATAGGAGATGAAATATAATTCAGTGAAGAATGGTGTAAATTACACTTAGTTCAAAGTCTTTTTAACTGGAATACACTACAAATTCTATGAATATATCGTTGTTCGATTTGATTTCTTGTTCTCCCATCTCCGTCGTCCATTGTTGGATTAAATGTAAACAGAGATATGTTATTCCCATCCTCAAGAAGAGTTTAAAATTTTTAAAGTTTAATGATTAAAAAAATGATTGATGAAGTTTGTAATTTACCCTTTTAAAAAAAAGACAAACAAACAAAGACTTCTGCCCCCCTATCATCAAATAAGACTGTTCCCTTGTATCATGAAATAATGGTATTCACAAATAATCGTATGCCAGAGGAGATTTGCATCACAAAGCATGATGAGTTCTTTGTTTCAGTTATGATAGATTTTTATCAAAATAGTCCCGGAATAATAGATGTCGACGATTTTGAATACCGGTCAAGAAGCGATAAGACTTTAGCAACCTTTCTCCCTGGATGGTCGCCGTGAACATTTCCCCCAGTTAGACCAACAAGAAGGTATCTAGCATTGGTTCCATAGGTCTCCACCATTTCTTTCGACGCAAAAACCTTCTCCAGGAGACCGAGTGCCGCTTCTTTCAGCGAATCCGTTCCCCATGTCAAAATATCTAACACGGGCTCTATCGCTCTAGCCTCATGCAAGACGACGGCTCCTCTCTGGAGACAGCCGTCCTGAACCAATGTGGAAAGTGTCTGGATTGCTTCATAAGCAGTTGCCTCGACTTTGTCATGTAAGAGGTTTACTATGTATGGCAGCGAGTTTGCTTCCAACAGACAGAACGAAGTGTTTACCTTGCAAATACCACCATGTGCAGGGCATACGGGAAGACGAGATATCCGAAAACACCAGCAGCTGATTCTTTCGGATGCGACAGTGAGCTTAGGACTGCTCATCGATAGGTAGCCAATGAGAGCTGCTGCTCTTGCCTTTGCTGTTACTGAACCAACTTTGAGGAAGTTTACGAGCAACGGGTAAGATCCATGTTCGACCACGATACGTTGCGACTCGACATTTGCGGGATCTGTGAACCTAAAGAGAGCACTTAAAGCCTGTTCTCTAGCTTCCATCGTCCCGGATCTCAAAAGATTTATAATTGCGGGAAGTCCATCCAACTCGATCAATTTTTTAGTTAGTGATACTTCAGATTTTGGGAGGTTGGCTAATAGACCGGCAGCAGCCATTTTGACATCAATGTTACAGTCATTTTCGAGGAACCCCACAAGACCCTCCAACCGTTTCGGCTTAAGAAGGTAATCTATGACTCCTTGCGACTCTTGTTGAGAAAATAAGAAGAGAAGGCTTACGGCAATTTCTCTTACTTCCGAGTCCGGATCATCAAGAAGAGGAAGGACTAAAGATACGCCATTGGCAGTAAGAACAGCTGTCTTGATCAATCGGGCTTCGGACCTGCATATTCCTAACAGCGCACGCAATGCAGGCTTTCGGAAATTGTTCGATGAGTTGGTATTCTGTTGCAAAGCCAGCAATTGAGTGATTATTGGCTCCAATTCAAGTTGAACCCCGTTTTCGTCAACAAAAAATTTGACTCCGTCGCCTTCAGAAGAAAGTTTCTCAACAATTTCGGAGCATTTGACTACATGAATTGTACACACATGTGAAGAGAACATTAGCTTCAGAACAACAGGAACACCACCACCGGCAGCAATAAGCTCTTTATTAGCACGACAACCGGATAGTTTAACAAGAACTGATAACGATAACTCCTTCAGTTCAATATTGCCGGATGCCACCATTGAAAGCAACGGAGGTATAATGCCTTCCTCACCTAGGACTTTTAAGTTTGAATCATACAAATCCATGATAACCAATGCTTTCAACATTGACATCCTTGAAGACACTGGCCCTGAAATATAATCGGAGGTATCAACATACACTGCACTTGTAATATTATTCCAAATAGAATCATTCAATAAAATGACAAGCTGTTTAAAAAAGTATACATAAAAGGGTTCCAACCTTGAACGATTCGATCAATCAGTGGTTTATAATACCACCCTGACTTGGCAGCTCGAGAAATGTTATCCTCATCAACATCAAAAAGTTTATTTAATATTTTTTCGGCATAGTCTGCCGATTGCCTGACCGGACCCTTTAGAAGGGTAACAAGAAAAAGAATTGCACTGCTTTGCAGAGAGAGTTGGCGACAAAAACAAACATTCCATTTGGATCTGTCCTGCAATAACTCATATAGCAATTCAACTGCAGCCATTGAGATGCTCGGATCACGGCCTAAACATGGAACAATGTAATCAAACCCCTGCTGCTCGATCACTTTTTCCTACAATTTTTTGTTTAAAAGAACATAGTCAGTAATGAAAGGATTCAACTCTTTCCTTTACAAAGTAATCTAAAGATTATACACAGAGAAAACCATGAATCTAATTTACTAAAAAGCAAGGCAATGAGTTTTTATCAGAATGGTTAGTTGTAAATAATCCAGCATACAGTGAATCAAATCTAATTTAGGGTCTGTTCGGAAACCAGAAATAATTCTAGTCAGCAAATCCCTCCAATGGCTATCTCATACCACATTCCATCAAAATTTCAGGCGTGCAAACTATAAATATGTAGGTATCTGCATTTGTATGCGAGTACGAATTGTTAATGAATGTATTCATATGCATTTAGACAATTACCGAAAATGAGTGAAAAGTACATGGTGTACGTATTCTTACCTTATTTCTTGCGTGCCCTTCCACCATATCTTTCAAGGTGATAAAAATCTTCTTCTTGACTTCTCGGTTGCGAGAACTTCCGAGGATAGAAATTATACTATCGGTGAGCCCTCCTATGGATATCCAATCCTTGTTTATAGAATTTTCTCTGATAAGATCTTGCATTTGGTTCAGGGCCTCCACTACTTTTGAATCAACACCTGATGACAACTTTGCCTGAGAAGCTCTGATTTTAAGGCAATAGTTCAGTTCTCTCCACTCATCTATTGATTGTCTGAGTGGAAGATTAGATCTCAAAGAAGTATCTTCGAGAACATCTCCGGTTTCAGGATCAGTTTTCATCCCACAGTCAAACCGAGCTTCAATAGCAGCTCTCTCACACGTAGTACCAGTGCAAAGGCTAACGGGATCATCCATTACTTCCCCACTTATACGACAAATGAAAGGCTTAAGTGGAGGGATGTATTCTTTCTGCGTATCATATCGTTCTATAACCTGAGCCCTTTGAAAATACTGCTTCTTCATTTCTTCATAATCTCTTGCTGCATCTGCTTGAGAAAGTAGCTCGATAACTTGTTCCAAGAAGAAAACTTCGGCTCTTTCTTTCCTATTGCCAGCTTCTTCTATTTCCCTTCTGAAGCTTGCTAGCTCCTTGTTAATTTCAGAAGGCTCCACGGGTACCCCAACTGCCCTTGCTATCTCTTCCAGCATATCATTCGCGAAACATTGGTCACGTTTCTGATCCCTAAGACCCTGGTTTAACCTGTCAACGATTTGGAGTTGAGAATGTGAAGTCTCGAACTCTACCTTTTGCATCTCACTCTGTAGTCTATTGACCTGATCGGATATACCAGAAAGAATTTCAGTATTCACTAAAGAGAATGCAGCCAAAGACCTTCCGATATCCCTTGTGACTTCTTGCACCTCATTAACAATGTGCCGGCACTTGACGAGCAAGTAGAAACGACCCCTATTTTTGTATTTCTCGACCAAGTTATTCGCCTTCTTGACATCTGCCTCCAAAGCCTCAAGAGCTAGTCTTGCTGTTTGAGAATCATTTAACTGTCGAAGCTGCAACTCCTTCAACACAGGCTCTATGTCAAAGAGATACTTCGAGAGGACTTTGAAACTCTCCTTCTCGATCACGATATCCTTCGCAGCCTGAGCTGTTTTAATCACTTGGTTTGTTACCACGGCCAAGATGGTTCCGATTGGTATAAGTTCCATCACCATTGCAATTGATTCTCTTCTCTAATTCTTTAATAATGTTAGGTACTAAGAACAAATACTGCTCCCAAATAGAAATCAATCATCGGACTTTATTAAGCATCATTTCTCCCTTTGAGCAACCTGTCAGCAAGCAATATATAACACAATCAACACAACAACATGCCGAATTTACCGAAGGAAGGGAAGATGAATCTATCACAGCGACAGGCATCGAAATGTTTGTGCCGTTCATATTTTAGAAATCGAAATCCTGTTCAGGCAACCACTTCTTTGACCAATAATGATAAAAACAAAGAAAACCTGAAACCTGAAACCTGAAGTTCATTTCCCAGTAATGTCCTACTATGATTAGTCAAATAATTCGAGCAGCTGTATCTGCAATTAGTGTTGTCAATTTGTGAGAAAGATTCTGAAATATTCCCTTATAATCACCTTGACTAGTTAAATAATTCGAAATATGAAACAATTGATAAACCCAGAGTTTACCTCGGTCAGTTCATGCAATTATTCGAATCCTACCATATCAATCCTTCCCTATCCACAAGAACAACTAAATTCCAACCACTAAAATCACAAAATATTGAAATTTAACATGGAAAAAGGCCTCTGATTATAGGTTGAATCGGCACCCATTAAAGCAAAAGCACTCAAACAAAAGCTTAAGTTACCCAAAAAAAAAAAAAGAAGAAGAAAGAAAGAAAGAAAGAATGAAAACTCGTGTCTTACATTTCACAATTTCCTTCATTTTATTTCACTATCAGCTTGAACAAAGGAACTAAAAGCATAAAAAATGGAAGACAAGAGCAGGAAGTTAAAGCTCCTTATCTCTGAAGAAAGCGTATTTGAAAATCACCAGAGAAACCCAGAGAGCAGAGAAGAAGCTTTAATCGTGACAGAATTAGTATCACCTAAGAACAAATCGGGAATGAGAAATGAAACCAAAAAACTTTTTTTTTACTGTTGATTGAGGAGAAGACGACTTGTATATCAAGTCAAGCTCTTTTACTATTATTAATTGAGTGTGCACCGTGTAGTTTCCTTTCAACTTCATGTTCTAATTACAAGGCGTGGCAATGATGGCAAAATCGGAATTTTCAGGAAATTTCAGCTCGACAAGAAAAGGTCAAGTCGTTCAAAATCAAAAACTAATAAATTTTATCAATATTGTTAGTCAAGTGGTAATCAATTTCGTATCGATTAAATCAACTATTGAATTTAAATTTATATATATATAGATTAAATCAACTATTGAATTTAAATTTTTATATATATAGAAAATTCCTATAGAAAGACTCTCTCACCAACTAATTATTTTTTCTCTTAACTATTCTATGACTAAGTCACAAATTAGGATCTCAATTATTAAAATGCACGCGCGGTATTTGCATTATATTAATATAATCTATATTTAAAAATGATAATTTTTTTTAAAATGATATATCAAAACACATCAATATCGAATATAATTTAGGGTAAACTACACCAGATATCATCAAATTTTAGGCGTTGTATCATTTATGTCATTGAATTTTTAATTTTATCAATTATAACATTAAACTTTGATTTTAATTTCAATTATACCACTTTACCATCAAATCCTTAATTTTCTAAAAATTACTCCTAAAATCCTTAATTCTTAAAATAAAATTGATGAACAAGGCATGGCGGCGAAACCAATAACGAACGACTTACATCGATTTACTACATCACTCTTTCATCGAAAGACGACATATGAACGACTTACAAAGTTACAATGGGATGAGAGGAGGAGGCACATGTATTGTTCATTGGTGTAGAAATGGAGTAGTGTTTAAAGGCGACAAACAATTAGAAGAAGGGGGAAAATCAGAGTTTTAGATTATTTTTCGAAAATAAATTTTTTTATAGGATCTTTTGGTAAAATTGAGTTTTTCTACATACATAAAGAATCAAATTTAAGAATTGTTTAAGTCATATTAAGCTGCTTATTATTTGAACCAACACTTGTTGATGAATGATACATTTTTTCTAACAGAATGATTTAACTTTAAAATAATAATAAAATAAAATATTAAAAACATATTTTTAAAAGTAGATATAAAGAATAATATATATATAGAGAGAGAGAGAGAGCGAGAGAGGTACTAATATGGGCTTTAAAAATCTCGTTATAATCCGATCCACAAATAAAACCATATTGCAAAAGCAACCATTTCAATATATTTACTCATTTAAATCAATGAGGGCCAAAAAAATAATACAATAATGTTCTTGGAAAATTCAAGGATGAAGAGCAGCATACATACCTCTTGCATTGCATCAATGCATAAATAATTTTAGATAAAATTAACCCATTAAGTGGTCTAAGTGTTAAAAAAAAGAATATTATTCTTTCTAGAGGTCCTGAATTTGAGTAGCTGTAATTGTAGGGTGTATGCATGTTGTCAATAAATCATGAAAGTTCTGAACAAACTCTATCTTGTAATCATCTCATAGTATTTAAAAAATAATTTATGATAAAAGAACATTTTAAGTGATCATAGCGGTAAAAGAGAATGTTATTATTTTTTAGAGAATTCAAGTTCAAGTAACTACATCTGCAGAATGTGTGTGTTGTCAATGACTAAAAAAGATGATTAACAAATACTACATTGTAACCATCCCAAATATCCAAACTATTTAAAATAATAATAATTTAAGATAAAAATAAATTAGAAATTATTAAATTATATTAAAATGGTTATTTTAATTATTAAATTTTCAAAAGATAAAAATATCATTAAATTATAAAATGATTATTAAATTTTATCGTATTGTTACAAGATTAAAGTGATTATTTTAAATGTGTTGAATTCTTTATCTTTCTAATGTTAAATTAATAAAATATTATTAAAAATTCATCAAGTGATTTTAGTGGCTAAAACGAGTGTTGTTCTCCCTAAAAATATTGGGTTCAAATAATTGTCTGTGAGCATAAGTAGTTAATGACTATTTTTTTAACATTTATTATTTTGTAATCACTTTAAATTATGTTGAGTTAATCGATCGATGGAAGCGGCCAAGAGGGGGTGAATTGACAATTAAAATTTTGGTGGAAGCTTTTGCAGAAAATTGAAAGTAATTGCACAACGATTTAGAGTGGTTCGACTTTCTCAATCAAAGTCTACGTCCACTACCTTAGCTATCTACACTAAGGATTTTCCAACAAATTCACTAATTTGTTCTTTCTTTTGAGGCCAAAGAGATAACCTTACAACTCCCTCAAAAATATACCCCAATTCTTGAGAACACTCTTTCTCAAAGACAAGATTACAAATTTGCAACTTACAAGGAAATTCTCACAAGGTAGATTGTTTGCACAATTCTAGAACAAAGAAAAGAACACTCAAGAATGAATACAATTGAGTACAAGTAGTGTTCTTGAAAGCAAAATGAATATTGAATGAAAAATAGGCTTGAAATGCTCAAACTTGAGGTTTGATGCTTTCTCTTTGATTCTTTATTGATTCTAGTTGCTTTTTGTTTCTTGTTGTTGATCAATGGCTTCTAAGCTTGTTTAAATATATCTTTAAATGATTCTGAACGTTGGGGATGGTTAGTGGAGAGTCAATAGAGCCGTTTAAGTGCGAAAACAATTAATATTAGTGGTTGGGAGCGTCTCATGCATCGATGCATACCCTAGGTGCATCGGTGCATCAAGTGTAAAATTCAAATATTTTGACCGTTGGACTCTCAGTGCATCGGTGCACTAAGAGTGCATCGATGCATCAAGTGCATTCGATGTTTCAAAATAGCCAAAGTGCATCGATGCATCAAATGCATTCGATGTTTTCATAAAATCCTCAGTGCATCGGTGCATGGTATTGTATCGATACATGAAATGCATTTGATGTTCAATTTAATTCATGGTGCATCGATGCATGGATTGGTGCATCGGTGCATCACTCTGAAAAATTGATTTTAGGCTTGATTTTGGTTCAAAATACTTTGTGAAAATTGTTTCAAAAATATATTAAGTATAAAACACAATTTTACACATTTAGTAAGGTTTGAAATTGATCTTAAAAGACTTGGAGTAATAATTTGATATTCGATTAATTGAATCGAATATACTTAGAAAATCATTTGTAAAATCTTAAAATTCATTTAAACTAATTTGTTATATCGAAACACAAAAATGTTTTCAACAATCTCCCTCTTTTTGATATAACAAAACATTTGTGTTATTTTAAGATTTTCTAAAAATTTGAAATCAATTTTGAAAAATTACTCCCCCTTACTATAACATTTCTCCCTTTTAAAACATTTTAACACTTAACATTTCTCCCCCTTTTTATTAAATCAAAAAGACTTAAAAATTGATTTAAACAAGGTTTTGAAAAACATAGCCAATTGATTAAATATATATATATAGCTTAAGTTGCTAAGATCACAATCAAAAAGAGAGATTAGCCATTAGTTCCATAGACAATATTCATAAGTAAATATGAAATGACATAATTGGTCATATATATCTAATGATGCAAAAAATAAGAAAATTCAACCAAACCAAATATATATAAATTAAGTTCAAAATCCAATCATCCAAACCATAACAAATTCAAACATTAAACAATCCAAAACAAACAACTCCATGAAAAAGGTCTAATCCATAAGAGGGTCGGGAGGAGGAGGATAATGAGCTCGAACTTCAAGAGTGAGCGCGTCCATACGTTCACGCATCTCCCGCTGAAACTCAGTAATCTGAGACTCCATAGAGGCAAACCTCAAATCAAACAACTCCAATAAGGATAAAAAATATGGTGGCATTTGATCTTCTTGTCGTGCCGGTTTCGGTACAGGCTCATCGTCTGGAACGTGATCGTCGATATCTTGCATAAGTTGATAAAACTCAGGATCATCGTCAGCAGCCGGTGCCGTAGGAGGAGGAGGAGCACGAGAAGAGCTAGGAGCAGCTCGTGAAGAGCTAGCTCCCGGGGTTTGCTTACCGGGTCGAAATACCCAAAGACTGGTTTCCTCGTCTTGCTTTCAATCCGCTTTCTTCAAGGAAGTAAGATTGATTTGATTTTGGAGTGGGATAGGATTATCGAGAGAGACGTCTAGACCAAGTTTTATAAAGAGGTTACTAAGAAGACATCCATAAATCAATGTTTCAACATGTTTTGAAGGAACAATGTTTATGATGTCCACTAGTTGACTGAATATAATGTGGGGCAGATTTATTTTGATTTTATTTTTAATAAATACATCCACCATAAATCCCTAGCACGAAGTGTGGAGTACCTACCTCCGGATGGTCTAAACCACCAAGAGATCATCAAATAGAGAAAACGATCTTGATGAGATCGTAGAGTACTAACACTGGAGTTTGGAACATAGTGATATTCCACATTTTCACTCCAATTATATATACCACTATCATCTAACCCAAATCGGAAAGCTATAGTCTCGGGGTCAATATTAATATATTGGCCTAAAAGATAGGATCTAATGGCTATAGTTCCACATTGAGTTTCATTTTGAATACACACCGCATTGGAATAGAAAATGCAGACTAATTGATGAAAGAGACAACAGGTCTAAGAGAAAACAGTTTATCAAACTTCCATGTTCTAAGAATCAGGAGGAATTCAAATTTAAAGTCTATCATGGCTTGTAGAGATGAAATACGTTCTTCCCTAATTCTATAAGATTGGAAAGAAT